ATATATATATATATAAAATGAATAATTATATAAAATATCTCCTCTGTCCTTATCTTCTCCAGTTCTGTAAGGGCAATAATATGGAGTACCTGACAGGTCGAGTTTGGATCGGTTTTTGGCTCATCATCATCGTGGTGGTGATGGTGGCCTTTGAGGGCAGCTTCATGGTCCGATTTGTCTCGCGTTTCACCCAGGAGATCTTCTCCGTCCTCATCTCTCTCATTTTCATCTATGAGACCTTCTCAAAACTGGTCAAGGTAGTTTGGATCATCTTTTGATTGTGTTTGTCATCATATATGATTGTGAAGTCCTCTTGACTGCTGGTGTTTCCCACAGATATTCCAGGAACATCCTCTGAGACGCTGCTCTGCTATGGTTGTTGATGCAAACAACTCGACACACAACTCGAGCATGGAAGATGTCACTTCAAGTCCATTAGCATCAAACAGCAGTACACCGGAGACGGTGAAGGTGGTTGGTGAACCTAATACTGCTCTGCTTTCCTTGGTGCTCATGTCTGGGACCTTCTTCATCGCCTTCTACCTGCGCAAGTTCAAAAACAGTGCCTTCTTTCCTGGCAGGGTAAGACGCTGTCTGATCAAGTCACCCAATGTTGAGTGATTAGGACATTACAAAAGAAAATGTAGTTGTAATTGGCCAAATGTGGTCTTTTTATTTTATTTTATTTTATTTTTTTTTACAGCTAAGAAGAGTTATTGGAGATTTCGGAGTTCCTATTGCCATTCTCCTCGTGGTTCTGGTAGACTACAGCATTCGAGACACATACTCACAGGTGAGAATGGATAGTTTTCAATTTGCAGATGATGAAGTTGAAGTCAAGTAAACCAAATGATAGTATTAATATCATTTATATTTCATGTTAGGTACCCTAAATATTAACATTTAATGCATTAACCTGCACTATTTGTGCTATGGATATCTAAAATTGGCCAGTTTGTTGAAGAGATTCATTATTATTATTTTATTTTATTTCTTATTGTCATTATTTTATTTATTATTTTTAATGTTACACTCATCATATTTTCTTCGTTTTTATTTTATTTTTGATTGACTTTATTTTTAATAAATTTTCTTTTATTATTTTGCATTATTGTAATTTTTTGTTATTGTCCATATTTATTTTTAATGCTTCACATTTATAATTGATTAATTTTGTTTATATTTTTGGTTTACTTAGTTTTTAATTCATTTTCTGTCTTCTTTTTCTAGCGTTTTATGACTTTAATTTTTTTCCTCATTTTATTCACATATATGTATTCTGCTTT